TCAATCAGGGTGAGTACCGATGAAAAAGCCAAAACTCTTCTGGTTTCTTGAGGCTTCCTCACCCCCCACTATCATGACCCCAGTACTGGCTTTCACGTCAGGCTAGACCGGAGCATGTGCACAGGTACAGATAAGAGATAAGAGCTCAGGACACACGGAATCCATGAACAGGAATGGGAGCAGTGATACTGGAATGGTAGGGAGAAGGTAGGGAGAGGAAGGGGAAACCAATCACAATGATCAACACATAACCACACCCTCCCCCTACCAGGGGGATGAACAACAGAAACTATGGGGGAAGGGAGACAGCAGTCTGTGTAAGATATGAAAATAATAATAATTTATTAAGGGGTCACATGGGTGGGTGGGGTAGAAAGGAACTGATACCAAGGATTCAATGGAAAGCAAATGTCTAGAAAAGAATGATGGCAACATATGTACAAATATGCTTGATACAATTGATGCATGGATTGTTATTTAAGAGCTGTAAGAGTCCCCAATAACATCATCTTTTTTAAAAAAAGAAAAATAAATTACAATCAAATAGAAAAAAAAGAGAAGATGCAAAGAATACAGTCACTGTAGCCAAAAAACTAGTCAACAATCCATTTCAGAAAATAACATATGAGCAAGAACCAATGGTGCTGAAGGAAGAATTTCAAGCCATACTAAAAGCATTAGCCAAAACCAAGGCTCCAGGAATTGACGGAATATCCACTGAAATGTTTCAGACAGCTGAAGAAGCTCTGGAAGCACTCACTCGTCTATGCCAGGAAGTTTGGAAGATAGCTACCTGGCCAACTGACTGGAAGAGATCCATTATTTGTGCACATTCCAAAGAAAGACGACCCAACAGAATGCTCAGACTATAGAACCATATCACTGATATGGCACACAAGGAAAATCTTGCTTAAGATTTTACTTAAGCAGCAGTTGCAGCAGTAGACTTTTGCGTAAGCAACGTTGTAGCAGTCCATTGACAGGGAAGCCCCAGAAGTTCAGGCCAGATTCAGAAGAAGCCCTGGAAGGAGGACTATCATTGCTGATGTCAGATGGATCTTGGCTCAAAGCAGAGAACACCAGAAAGATGTTTATTTGTGTTTCACTGACTATGCAAAGGCATTTGACTGTGTGAAACACACAGTGGAACCTGTGGAACACAAAGTGGAACACATTGTCAGGAGAGACCAGAGAATCATAATAAACTGTGCATAACTCTGAGAAGAAGGAGAATTCTTGAACACTTCATTGTGCGCATGTGGAACCTGTACATGGATCAAGAAGCAGTTGTTTGAACAGAACTAGGAAATGCCGCCTGGTTTAAAAGCAGGAAAGGTATGCATCTTCTTTGGTGCATCCTCTCACCATACTTACTAAATCTGTATGCTCAACAAATCATCAGAGAAGCAGGATGATATGAATGAGAGTGTGGCATCAGGATTGGAGAATGGATTATTAACAACCTGCGGCACATAGCTGACACACCTTGCTTACTGAAAATGAGGGATTGAAACGGTTGCTGATGAAAATCAAGGATTGTAGCTTTTATAGAGGAGTACAACTCAATGTAAGGAAGACCAAAATCTCCATAATTAGACCCATACGTAACAACATGATAAATAGAGAAAAAGTTTAAGTTGTCAAGGATTTGGTCTAACTTGGATCCATAATCAATGCTCCTGAAAGCAGCAGTACAGAGATCAAAAGCTGTCTTGTATTGCGTAAATCTGCTGGACAAGGCCTCTTTAGAGTTTTGAAGAGCAAGGATGTTGCTTTGAGGGCTAAGGTTGCGCCTGACCAAAGCCATAGTATTCTTTATTGCATCGTCTGCATGTGAAAATTGGACATTGAATAAGGAAGAATTATGCATTTGAATTGTGGTGCTGTTGAAGAATACTGGAAGTCCTGTGGACAGCTGAAAGCACAAACCATTTGTACTGGAAGAAGGAAGGCCAGAGTGCTCCTTAGAGGCAAAGATGGCAACAGTTCATCTTACGTACTTGGAACACATTGTCAGGAGAGACCAGTCCCTGGAGAAGGACATCACGACAGGTAAAGTGGAGGGGTGGCGAAAAGGAGGAAGGTGCTTGAAGGATGCACGGACACAGTGGCTGCATCCATGGGCCCAGGCACAGGAACAATTGTGAGGATGGCGCAGCACCGTGTCCCGTTTCGTTCTGTTGTGTGCAGGGGCGCTATGGGTTGGAGCTCACTCGATGGCACTAAACAGCAACAACAAAACAAACTATGTGACCAAAAAGCAGGTTTTGCAATGATTACATAACACAATTGATACCCCAACACATGTGATAAAAGGCAGTTTTTGCAATTATTAAACAATTATTTTTACCTACATTGCTCCAGGGTTTACCAGACCACGAGACTGGGAAGCATCATGCTCCATTGTTTATCTACACGGGGGATGCTTTGGGCCTGGCTACTACTTACTGTAAAGGCCTTGCTTACTGCCTTCCTGAGTTAGAATTAGTTAAGACTTAATGCCTACTGATTAAGCTTAAAAAGAAGTTTTACTGCAAGGGAGGGGGATATACATGTTGGATTTCTAAATAACACTGTCCAAAGAACAAACAAGTCTGTCTTAGAAGAAGTACAAACAGAATTCTTCGTAGAGGCAAGGATGGTGAGACTTCATCTCATCTACTTTGGACGTGTTATGAGGAGAGACCAGTCTGGTGAGAGACATAAGGGTTGGTAACGTGAAGAGGCACAAAGACGAGGAGGGTGCTCAACAAGATGGACTGACGCGGTGGCTGCAACAAAGGGGTAGATTCTGTAGGCCATAATATTTCCAAGTTCTTAAATGCCTAAAATGAAGCCCTGGTGGTGCAGTGGATTAAATGATGGGCTGCTAACCACAAGGTTGGTTGTTCAAACCCATGAGCTGCCCTTCAGAAGATGAGACTGTCTGTCCTTGGAAAGCTTGACAGTCTCAGAAATTCTAGAGTGCTCATCATATACTGTACTGTGAGTTCCTATGAGTCAAAATTGACGCGACGGCAGTGGGTTTGGTTTTGATATGCCTAAAAATGTCTTTATTTTATCCGATCTCACTGGCCATAGAATTGTCCGCTTCACATCATTTTATTTCAGCCGTTGAGGATTTTGTTCCATGGACTTTTGGCATCTGCTGTTACAGACGGGAAAGTCTGGTATCCATCTGATTCCTGTTTCCCGATAAGTAATCTGTCTCTCCTCTTCGGTGGTTCATAAGATTTTCCTTTCTTGTTTTCAGGTGTGTCGATGAGTTTTCATATCAACTGTTTCATTTTCTGTGTTTGGAGAAGGAGAAGGCAGCTTCAGTAACGGTTCCTCTGTCATGTGGACCCAGAGCTCGGTTCCTGCATTGCTAAATGAAGTGTCGTGGTTTTTGCTTCTTGGACTCATTTATTTTTGTAGAGCGTTTCCTAACCCTGATGTTCCTCTGGCCC